AGTCCAGGAACGAATTCGCGGGTAAGGACCACCTATAATGACGTTGCAGGTGAGAAGTTGGTCAATGGAGAAGAAAAAGTGAAAAAAACGTCGGGCAGGGGCTTAGACAGGGACTGCCCTGCCGTTTAGGGAGACGTGTGTTGGACGAGTTGTCCGAACCTGCCCGTAGTACATGCGCTCCAATTGCAACTGCTGGCAAATAGCTGCATGCTTGCAAATACATAACTATTTGCCAGCAATCGAAATTGAAGCGCTTCAATTGCGTTCTTATGGAATCGACCTCATACAGCGCGGCGGTCCCGCAACGACCGCTAGTCAAGCACGGACTCTGCACAGCGTATGTTGGGCGATCCGCCTCTTTATGGGTGATCCGCCCCCTCCAAGAGGACTTCGACCCCTTCCAGCGCATTTTAGAGGTAGGTTTTGAACTTAAAGACATTTCCTATAAACTTTAGTTGGGCTGGGGCATGTTTTGACCGCCTAATGACCAAGTAGTTGAAACCCTGCCTGGACTGTTGCTTTAAGTCTGGTTATAATTAACCTGGCACCAATGAGCTCCCAATAAGACGGAAATTCTCAGGTAAATGACCAGGGCTTTTCTTAAACGAATCACGATTGTGGAGGAAAGGAACCAGCACTTTTTTCTTTTATTGAAGTTCAGGCAATCCTCGCTTAGGGCTGAGCAGCATTTTCCTTTGAACTTTGTTCTCATGGATTTTTCGCCTATTTCCGGCATAAGCCTTGTATTTTGATATTTCTGTCTCTTGTGTTTCGGTACGGCTTTTGGCACGTTTCCAGTTTATTGATGTCAAATTTGAAATTTCAGAATCGGAATGCGTCTCTGTGTCAATACGTTGCCGATAGTCGTGCTGTGTGTAGTAGCTTTCCTGGCCACGCCATCCACAGCCGATGAAGATCTCGTCGAGACATTTAAGAACATCGATGTGTTCAGGCTCAGGTAGGTGTAACTATTGCAATTTTTTGGAGGTTTCTGAATTATAATTCGTGATTGCTTTGCTTTCGGAAGCCAAAGCCTTTAAAACAATGTGCTGGCAGGTTCAAAATTGGAGCTGATCGCCATTCCCCTTCCAGTGCCTCACCCACTGTAATGTCATTTTCACTCTCCTAAAAGGACGTACTGCCCACTTTCCTTTAGAGAGTGATGCAAAAGGAGTCATCACAGAGTCCCCCAAATTCTTCAGGGGTCATGGAGTTCAGGTTAGCATTGCAGCAGAACTTTGTCATGATTCGCCTGCATGAAACTCGTTAAATCGTCGCTTTGAGCTTACTGTAAACGATGACTTTTCCTTGAATCGTGTTCTGATAGCAGGTGGCGATTCAGTGAATTAACATTAATTGTAGATAATTCGGCGCTCAATTCTTTGTAAAAGCGGGGGGGGGGGGCACAGCACCTGAGACTAAGCCTCAGAAGGGGCCTTTCCCCTTCTGAGGCTTCTTTCTGGGGGAGGCGTGAGCAATTTGTGATTTCCCTGACGTTTCTAAGAGGGGAGAAGCGCCATGGAAATCGCAAATTGCTCACGCTTCCCACAGAATCCCTTGGCTTTATCCTAGTGTCATCTACCACCGGCCCTCTTTTGAATGCCCCCCCCTAAGGACATGTGCGCTGATGATAAGGCCGATAGCCGGTGTCAGACTGCTAATCGCTCGATTCGCAAAGTCTGACACCAGCCTACGCATGAACCCAGTTTCGTAGCACAGGAGATATATAGATACTATGGGAGGTATATCTCGCCATAGTATCTATATTCGGCTCCAAGTGTAGACAGATTTGGCTATGGATACCTTCATTCCAAAATAGATTTTGCTTCAAGGTTTAGTCCTTCAAGACACCTTTATCCAGGCCATCCACTTCATACTTCATTCCCCCTACTGCCGTTTTTGGAGCCGAATATAGATACTATGGCGAGATGTTCAGGAAAAGTCACTGAATTCCAGGTCGTCCGCAGGTGCCTGCCCATTGCTGGTTGTCGGTCAGGTGTGTCCACAGGAGAATCCGCTCTACTACTTCAAATGCTGTGGTGATTTAAACGCGTCGTGCTGTTTCCGATTACAGGTACAGCTTATGTTCGTAATAACGGGTGGGCAGGCCTTCGCTAGTTCACGACTAGCTCTCGTTGAACTCATGGAGGTGGACAGGCTGTAATTCCCGCTTCGGAAGGCTAATAAATCGCAAAATCGAAGGTTTATCCACTCACTGCGTAACCTACTATTATGAGCCGAATACTGCGATGTCGTCCGCATTCGCACTATTCGGCGCATGAACCTACAG